TGCATTTTCTTATTATAATTTAGCAATAATATCATTCAATCTTTTGATTTCTTAAGTAAGCATATTGATTCTTGATTCATATTCTTTCATTTTGATTTCGAATTATTTATATTAGATAATTAATTATTCTAATTCAGCGATTTTCTATTCTAATTATTAGCATCTGGTTCTCCATTAATTAATTTCATCTTCTTTGTTCTTCAACATTTGTCTTAATCTTTCGATTTCACTAGTCAACATAGCGATTTTAGCTTCGTATTCTTAATTAATTTTTTCTAATTAAGCTCTCTTTCTTCTTTCATCATCTAAAGATGTTATAGCATCTTATAATTGTTTTCTTAATTATTCAATAACTCTATTAAGTTCTTAAATTTGTTATTAGAATTATTAGTTTTAAGCTTCTAATTATCTATATTTCATTTCCCATTATTAAATTTAAGTTCTTAATTCATTTATAGTAACGTCTTTCTCTAAATATAAAAATATATATATATACATATTTATATAAAATTTTTATTATTATTTATTACATTAAATATCTCCTTATAATTTAGCAATAATATCATTCAATCTTTTGATTTCTTAAGTAAGCATATTGATTCTTGATTCATATTCTTTCATTTTGATTTCGAATTATTTATATTGAATCAGTAATTATTCTAATTCAGCTATTTTCTATTCTAATTATTAACATCTAGTTCTCCATTAATTAATTTCATCTTCTTTATTCTTCAACATTTGTCTTAATCTTTCGATTTCACTAGTCAACATAGCGATTTTAGCTTCGTATTCTTAATTAATTTTTTCTAATTAAGCTCTCTTTCTTCTTTCATCATCTAAAGATGTAATAGCATCTTATAATTGTTTTCTTAATTATTCAATAACTCTATTAAGTTCTTAAATTTGTTATTAGAATTATTAGTTTTAAGCTTCTAATTATCTATATTTCATTTCCCATTATTAAATTTAAGTTCTTAATTCATTAATATTAACGTCTTTTTCTTAAATAATTTTATTTAATCTTTCGATTTCTTTGATTAATTATTCTATTTTTAATATATTTAATAAATTTATAAAATTTAAATTATTTACATATTCTCTATTCATATTCAGCTAATTTTTATTCAACATGTTATAATTTGTAAAGTTATTATTCTAATTATTATATTTTTTATTTCAATCCATTTATTTCATTATTTTTATCGACAATGATTTTATTAAGATGATCTACTTCAGAAGATAACAGAACGAATTTTTCTTCATATTATCTCAATTTAATTTCTAATTATCTTGCTTCTATTAATTATTATTCTAATTTTTGATTCTTTACTCTTTCATCTTATAATAATTATTAAAGTTTTTAGATAACTCCTTCATATTCCTTGCATTTTTCTTCAAATTATCTCAAGTTCATAATAGTAATTTCTTGTTTAGAGCATTTTTCTTTCCATTATGCATTTTCTTATTATAATTAGGCAATAATATCATTTAATCTTTTTATTTCTTAAGTAAGCATATTGATTCTAGATTCATATTCTTTCATTTTGATTTCGAATTATTTATATTAGATAATTAATTATTCTAATTCAGCGATTTTCTATTCTAATTATTAGCATCTGGTTCTCCATTAATTAATTTCATCTTCTTTATTCTTCAACATTTGTCTTAATCTTTCGATTTCACTAGTCAACATAGCGATTTTAGCTTCGTATTCTTAATTAATTTTTTCTAATTAAGCTCTCTTTCTTCTTTCATCTTCTATAGATGTAATAGCATCTTATAATTGCTTTCTTAATTATTCAATAACTCTATTAAGTTCTTAAATTTGTTATTAGAATTATTAGTTTTAAGCTTCTAATTATCTATATTTCATTTCCCATTATTAAATTTAAGTTCTTAATTCATTAATAGTAACATCTTTCTCTAAATATAAAAATATATATATACATATTTATATAAAAAATTTATTATTATTTATTACATTATATATCTCCTTATAATTTTGCAATAATATCATTTAATCTTTTGATTTCTTAAGTAAGCATATTGATTCTTGATTCATATTCTTTCATTTTGATTTCGAATTATTTATATTGAATCAGTAATTATTCTAATTCAGCTATTTTCTATTCTAATTATTAACATCTAGTTCTCCATTAATTAATTTCATCATCTTTATTCTTCAACATTTGTCTCATTCTTTCGATTTCACTAGTTAACATAGCAATTTTAGCTTCATAATCTTAATTAATTTTTCTACTTAAGCTCTCTTTCTTTTCTCATCGTCTATAGATGTAATAGCATCTTATAATTGTTTTCTTAATTGCTCAATTACTCTATTAAGTTCTTAAATTTGTGATTAGAATTATTAGTTTTAGGCTTCTAATTATCTATATTTCATTTCCCATTATTAAATTTATGCTCTTAATTCATTAATTGAAGAATCTCTCTCTTATAACAATTTCATTAATCTTTCTATTTCCTAAGCATAAGACTTTAATTTATTTTCATATTCTACAACTTTCTATTCAATATTTTATAATTTAAACAATTATTATTCTAAGGCAACAATTTTTTATTTCAATCCATTTATTTCATTATTTCTATCTACAATAACTTTATTAGCATGATCAACTTCAATTGACAAAAGTACAATTCTTTCTTCATAATTTCTTAAAATTACTGCTTTTTCCCTCCATTAGTTTAATTCTCCTTGTAATTATCCAATAACTTCATTTAATCTTTTGATTTCTTAAGTAAGCATATTGATTCTAGATTCATATTCTTTAAGTTTAGCCTCTACATTTCTCAATTATATTAATTATTATTCTAATTCAGCAATTTTCTATTCATATTATTAACCTTTAACTTACCATTATTAAAGTTATTCATCTTTCATTTTAATAATTTATTATAATCTTTCAATTTCAGAAACTAATTTGGCTATTTTAGCTTCCATATCTTACACATCTCTCTATTATTTGCTTTTCTTTGTCTATTCTTCTTGCAAAGCATTAAATGCATCACTTAATTACTTCTTTAATTATTCAATAATTCTATTTAATTCTTCAATTTTAGTAACTAACATCTTATTTTGTCCTTCCATATTCTTATAGTTTGCTTCCATCTGAGATAATTGCATTTTCAACTCTTATATAGCCTTATCCCTTACCTAAATTTCCTATTAGAGTTACCCAATAGCATCATTCAGTCTTTTTATTTCCTATTAAAGCATATTAATTCTAGTTTCATATTCTTTCATTTTATATTCATATTCTTTACATTTTTATTCATATACTCTTAATTCATTAATAACTATAGATGACTAATTTAATTTCATTTTCCATTCTTCCAATTCTTTCTTTAATCCATTTATTTAATTATCTTTTTCTTAAATAACTAACTCATATCTTTTCAATTCAGTTATTTTTATTTCTAATTAGCCACATTACCCTCTCCATTTATCACATTCACCTTATTTATCACCGATCATTCTATTTAACCTCTCGAATTCGACAGAAAAACTAGATAGTTTTTCTTCTAATTGTTTTATTTGCATATCTTTTTAATTTTTTAAGTCGTTTAATCTATTTTTTATTTAATTTTAAAAATTATGTTTATATATAAAATATATATATATATATATATATATATATATAAAATAAAATTATATATTTTATTTTTAATTAAAAAAATAAAGATATAAGTTACTTATTTTTTAAAAGTAAATATTATTTTTATAAATAAAAATAATATTTTAGAATTTAAATAAAAAAAATGAAATATTATTAACGATATTACTCAATTAATAGTATATTTCATAATTATATTTTTTATATTTTTTTAAATATATTATTTAAAATAAAATATATGTAATAAATTTATATATATTTTTACGCTCTCTTAAATTAATCGATTTCATAGTCTCTCTATTACAATTCCTATCTTAATTAATAACATTCGTTTTCAAATTATGCTTTCTCGTTAGTAATTTATTCGAATTAAACAATAGTAGTTTCCAATTATCCGCAAATAGACTTCCAGTAAGCGATTTCCTCATCTTTAGCAGCAAACATTTCCTTAAGATATTCTGTAGGTTGTTTCCAATCTTTTTAAGAAATTGGATTATAGCTTTTTGTTAAATCTACATGTTATACTTTAGTAGTTAATATAGTAGAACGGGTAATAGTTTAACTGTTGTTCACATATTTTTAACTAGATGACCCTCCCTATGATTATGATTGTTAAGTTGATTAAGCTGAATAACCAGTATTCGATTATCTCATTTTTTTTTATTATTTTTTTACTTTGACTTATTTAGTTTTTTTTATTTATTTATTATTAATAAAAATTATTATATATAAAATATATTTAATTTTTTAATTAATTAATTTTGTATATATATATTATTTTATATATATATTATTATTATTTTTTTTTTTTTTTTTTCCCATTTATTAAATTAATAAGAAAATAATTTTGGTTTTTTTTCTAATGGAAATTTCATTATAAAGTATAAGGATAAAATTAAAAATAAAAAGTTTTATTAATTAAAAATATTTAGATAATAAAAAATGGATTTACATAGCGTTAAAACCTAAAAATACTATTTGATTAAATTGTATTATATGTATTTTTTTAATCTATACATAAAATAAAATTATTTGAAGTCTTATTTTTTTTATTATAAATAAAAATTCTTATTTGATTTTAATAAAAATAATATATAACTTAAATTTTAAAAATATTTATGTTATATTATATATATTTTATATATAAAAATAAAAAATTTTATTTTACTAAGATATAATATTTAATATTTTAAAAAATAAAGAAATATATAAAAAAAAATATTGTAACCTTAAAAAAATTGTAAGATTAAAAAAAAAAAATTAAAATTTAATATATTATAAACTAAAAAACTTTTATAAAGTGCATGCATAATATTTTGCTTTATTTTTAAATTATAAAAATTATCTAATATATATAAATATCATTTATTAATAAAAATATAGATAGAATATATTATAAATATAAAATTAAATATAATAAAATATTATATATTTATTATATTAAATTTTTTATTCCTATAATTTAAAAATCAAATATTTCTATATTATTGTACATTTTATTTTATTTACAAAAAATTATTATAAATTTATAAGAATAAATAATTTATTAAATTATTATTAAATAAATGAAAAAATAATATATAATATTTAATGATTATCTGAAAAAATAAAATAATTAACTAATAATTTAATAAAATTAAAAATATCTTTTTAATAAATTAATCTAAATGAATTAATTTTTAAATATTTAGTAAGCTTTAATATTAAAAATACATCATTTAAATTAATTTTTGTCAAAAATTTTCAAATCATTAATTATAAATATATATAAATAATATAAATAAATATATATCTATATGTATAAATATATCTTTTTTTTTTTTTTACTTATTTCTAATTTATTTTTTCTCAATTCTTTTTTATTATTTATTTTCTTTTATTTCATTTTTTTATTCTTTAATAAATTATAGAGCTTTCTTGCATATATTTAATTTATTTCAAAAAAAGAAGATCTATATATGACATTACATACTGTTTTATATATTATATATAATTTTTTTTATACAATAAAAAAATCTACACATTGATATATATATATATTTATTCTTTTAAAATATATCATAAAAATAAATATAATATAAAAGTAGTCTTATAATTAATAGATATAAATAATAATTTTCTTAAAATGATAAAAATCTATATATAATTTAACTCTCTATAAAAAAAAAATAACTTCAATTTTGTTAAGCGGCAACAATAATCAT